TTCGACTCATCATACTAATCAATGTCAATTTCAAATTCCTTATTCGAAAATGTGCTTTGTCGTATGCCTTGAATTGACTCGCATGCCATGCTAATAGCCGAGCCTAGTAGTTGTATTTTGTATGTGTTACATTAGTCACTTGTATATTAGAGCATGCATTTTTCTAATTGTTTTATTTCTTTTGGCTTGTCTTGGAATATTAGGTGAGCATTTATTACTTTAGCATATTGCATGTGTGTGATTGTTGCTATACCATAAGACTAAGTGCTTAAGTGACATACCTGTTTGAATGCTAGTGGATGAAGGCTTTTTCGCTTAAGTTAGAATGATTCAATTAATGTACAAATGAGATCACTTTTTCAAGTGATACATATTTAAACACTTTTCAAAAAACAAACGTGAAATCAAAGCATTTAGTTTATACTTGTGTGCGTCGCGTAGTAAAGATAGCCTAACAATCAGAACAAGAGCATATAATGTAAATAAGAATCACATCATGATTATTAGATGTCGATCTTTGATCGGGTGAGTGGGGTGCTCAATTCATGACCTTTCTCTCTCATACCTAAATTCCAGAGCTGAGACACTTTGGTGATGACGGATAGGTGGCCTTTGGCATGAGTGTTGGGTTTCTTTAATTTCTCAAAAATATTTAGGTGGCGACTCTGAAATCTAGCAAAACAGTCAATTTTTGACATTTTGATTCAAAATCGATTTTTCAAAAGAATTGTCGGTATTGGACTCATTTGTGTTTATCTATTTCACATTTGCACTTGTGAAGTTAAATTCAAAATTACGGAAGTCCAAACTGTAAGGCTATCGTATCTGAAAGGAGCACGAAAAGCAAGTTACAAAACCGAGCAAAGGTCATTTGTTTGGCGAACCAATAACTCTTTGTAAAATATGGATCAATAAAAACATAAAACAAAATATAAAAAAAATTTAAAAAAAAAATATTTCGCTAGAGTATATCAAGATGGTTATGAATTAAAAAACAAAAACATATCAAACAATCATTGGGGGTGTTTGGGAACTTGGTTTTTGAGTTTTTTTTTTTTAATTTTTTTTTACTACAAGACATATGCTTTACAAAACTAAAAAAAGCAAATCCAAACAAAATATCAGATCAAATCCCATAATCATTTTACTTTTTCTCTCACAAATATCATATCTAGCTATAAAAAAATCTAACTATCTTCCCAAACACACAAAAAAAAATTCTCCAATAATATCCTACAACTAAAAAAACCTACAAAAAAATCCATTTCCCAAACACCCACATTTTAGAAGATGGTGTTGTTGCTTGTGTTGTCACTAGAGCGTATCGTAGATAGGGTGATGGTTGGACGGTGTCGTTGGTGGGGAAAAGTTAGGGATGGTGGTCGGAGATGATTGCAATGACAGTTTAAAATGGTGAAAAGAATAAGAAAAATGATGGAGAAGAGAAAAATAAGAAGATGAGTATAACAAGAGGAAAGTAATGTTAGGGATAAAGATATAGTTGATTGGTATGTTGAGAAGTGTAAATAGACAAATTAAAATTTTGAATTTTTTAAATGGGTGTAATGAGAAAATTAGTGTAACGCACATAGAATTATTTGGGATTAAAATTTCAAATTTGTAAGAAGGGCGTAAAAAAAGGGTATAAGGAGTTAATTTTATGGTACAAGGAAAAGAAAAATTATACATACAAGAAATTCACAAGAATGATGTGACAATGTTAAATAAATATATTTTCAATGATATTTTGTTTTGAAATAAAAAGCCTACAATGAGCGACATTATTATGTATAAATTTTTTATTCATATATCATTACTCTAGAACTACCCACATCATTTATACTAATTTTGCCAGTTTATTCATAAATTTTTTGGTAAATTACACACATACACACACAAAAAAAAAAAAAAAAAATGCAAAAGAAAAACTCAGCATTTTGCCCTTATAAGAGCTTCCACACCAACCTCTTCAAATTTGCAGTCAAATTAGAGTTGAAAAACCTATTTTTCTATTTTAGCTAGTTATCCACAACATCAAACTCTCTATTCTAACTCAATCCTATTAAAATATTATTTTATTATTGTATTTTTTTATTCTTTCTTATTTTATTAATTTGATGAGCAGCCGCCAAATAATTCCTACAAAAAAAAATAAAAAATTGTTGTTGACCGGTGGACTGGTTAGTCTAATTTTTGGCATTTTTCTTCTTCTACTACAGGCACTTACGGGACATCCAGTGGGACATTCGAGACGACATCTGGTTTAAAGATTTTGGCCCAGTCTTGCTCCAGAAAATATAATAAAAAAACATATAGCGAATGAACAGAGTGCCTTAACAAAGTTGTTGAGATACTATAGCAAATTTAACAAGAAGTTGATTTATAAAAAATTTGTTGAGATTGATGGAGAGAGAATTTGAGGATTTATTAGTTATATTTTAACTTTTTGTTATTTTGATGATCCTGATACGGATGCTCTAACAAAATAAGCCTTGAAGTTATAATGTTATCAATTTAAATCATAACCTTTTAATTTATTTTCAATTTAAACTATATGCATATTTTCATTAACTAAAACTAACTAAAAAATTGTATTTTATTCATACTCAACGGAAAAAATATATTTTATGTACACTTATATTGAATTTAATGGCTAATTTCTTTTTCTTTGATTTTATTTAATAAAAATAAGAAAATGATTTAGATTAAAAATAAATTAAAAAATTAGAATTTAAATTGACAAAATTAAAAAATTAAAATGCAGGATTACGTTCTTACTCCAAAATTTATTTTTTATTAAATTTTTTTTAATTTTTTTTTCAATGTATTATTTTTTTTAAAGTTTTCATCAAATTCAAATTTGATGAATTCTTAATTTGATAAAAAAAAAAAATGACTCCCATTGATTTAATTAGAAATGATTTTTTTAAAAATATTTTAATCAAATTTAAATTTGATAAAAAAGAGTGCTACTATTAGCACCCATCAATTATTTTGAACCCTCAATTTTTTGCTTTTTTAATTATACTAATAACCTCAAATAAAATTACTAAAAAGGACATCATTAATTTTGAAACACTTCATCTCATAATTAAACCCACACATGCACTACATCATGAATTAGGGTTTATAAGAGTATCCATCTCTATCACCATTCATCCATCTTCTCAAATCCTACCTTCAAAACTTATCCACCCTCAAAATCTTGAAAACCTTTTGGCGGCAATATTCTAGCGGTAATAGTAATAACCATTTGATTACCTGCACTTACCTGCACTTCTCTGGCAATGATAATTAGTGAAAGTTTTTTCGGCAACCACAACTCTATGAGACCACATGGTTTCAGAGTGGATGAAATTACTTGTTCTAATAATCAAGCTGAATATGAAGCCTTGATAGTGGGATTGGAAATTCTTATTGGATTACAAGTTCATGAAGTTGACATATTTGGAGATTCTCAATTGGTGGTTAACCAAGTGAAAGGGATTTTCAAATGTCAAAGTATAAGCATGTTGCCATACTATGTTGTTGCATTACATCTGCTTTCTCAATTTCATATAGCAAATGTAACTCATGTCCCAAGATTCTTGAATAATAGAGCTAATGATGTGGCTTAGAAAGCTTCGAATTGAATCCCACCATCTCCTCCCCCTCACTGCTGCTTATCGCCATCAACAAATTACCGCCACCCACACCATCGGCAGTCCTCTTCTGCAACCACTAGCTCTCAAGTCCACCTCTCCCGCCACTACTTCTCTCAAATCCACCATGGTTCACCATTACATATCACCGTTTCACTCAAATCCATTGACCTCCGCCCTCAGATCTGTCATTGTCTTTACCACATCGTTTGGAATCGTTACTCACCCATCTCTATTTCCTCAGATATGCCATCCCCCTTTGTATCTCTCTCAGATTCATTACCCTCTCTATCGTCTCAGAAGGTGAGGAGAGAGAGATGATGGTCGAAAGGGTTAGAAGATCCATGGGGGTGAGTGGTGGAGCGGGAGAAAATGGCTTGAAAAAAGAGTGGGAGATAAATATGAGGCCATGGCTGGCTTACGTGTAGATAGAGAAAGTGTAAGTGGTTGAATCTACTGCTAGAGATTGGTATGGTGTTTGGTTTAGTGTTTGTACCCAGTTGAGAGAGAGAGAGAGAGAGAGAGAGAGAGAGAGAAACAGGGAGTCTGGTTTGGTGTTTGGAGAGAGACACACGAAGTCTTGGTGTCTGGTATGGTAGACCAATAGATCGGAGGAAGATGAGATTAGGGCCATTCACTAAGGGTAGGAAATTAATGCTCTTGGCGATCATGAATTGCCAGAATTCAAAGAGAGAGAGAGACAGTTGATCCCATGTGTTTAACGTACTGTACCTTTCATGATGGGTGGTCTTGATTTATTTGATGGTTGATAAATCTTGGTACTAATATGGTGTCGGTAAAATCAAAGTTGAGATCAAAATAAAATTAAAAGAACCAGTAAAGTAATGCCATGTGTTCTATTAAATCTTGTTCTGTTAAAAAAGTTAACAGAACTGTACAGAAGATAGGAATTGAAAAATTTTAGGATTTAACTTGATACAATTAAAATTATGGAGTTTAATTTGAAAGACACACAAAACCTTGGAATATATTTTTTTTTAATTTGCCCTAATTTTAAATATCCCATTAGAATGCTCTAAGCTAGGTAATGGTATGGTCCAGTGGAATAGCTTTAAAAGTTTATTTAACCTGTTGATTTGTCTGAAGAGATAGAAAGTGCACCCAAAACACCCACTTTAGAATAATATCTAGAGTTTATAGTTATAATGACTCCTTGACATTTCATGCCATTCAATTTATTATAATGCTGATTAGTACTTGTGAGTTGAGTTAGTGGAACCCCATCAACTATCAAACTTTAAATTTGGCAGGTTAATTTATTTAAAATATTAAAAAGTCATTTAAATTTTTTTAAAAAATTATGAGTCATATAAAAAGGTTATTTTTTTCTTTATATTTTTTTGTAAAAAGTAAAAAATATATTAATTTAACACTTCCCAAACAGCCCCATAATATAATGATGTACTAAGAAGTACGGATATAGGCACGTGGGGAATGTTGGGGTGAACAAAAAAAAGTATATTTTTAGATTTCATTCAAAATTTTTGAGATTTACAAAGTGAACCCAGTGAAATAAAAAAAACATAAAAACAAATTTTTGGGTTTTGCAAATTGACCCCAATGGAATAAAAGAAACACACATAAAATCAAACTTTTTGTGTCTTATAAATTGACTTGGGGAAACAAAATATCTCACGCCTAGAAACATATTCAATTTAACCTATTGTTGGTATTTATAAATGTATGTGTAGCCAAATTTTCATATATTGATATATGAAGAATCATTTGCATTTTGTTTTGAGCTTTTTGGAGTTTTTTAGTGTTGAATTGTTTTATTTTTTATTTTTTTGGTTACATATATCATAAAAGAAATGTTTGATAACTTAAATAATGAAGTTATCATTTAGCGATTTTCAAAAATGAAAATTGTCGAGGACTAAGTGTAAATTTTACTTTAAAAAAAAGAAAGAAAAAGAGTATTGATGTCCTAATTTTTGTTTTTACATGTAATTTGACAAGTTTAGTTACTTTTGTCGATGTGATTAGAAATATATAAAATTTGAATGTATTCTGTTGAAGTTTATTTTGAAGGTTGTAATTTATCAAAAAAAAAGAAGAAAAAAGTTGATTTTGATGGTTGTATAACTAAAAATTTTACATGATGATTGTATAACTAAAGTTGATTCTGTGCTTCCCCCTATCCTTATATTGTGTTCATTATGTTCATCTGTCATAGGATATAGGATGGGTAGTTTGTTTCTTAAATTCCTCAAATCATGAAGAATCAATTATTTTCTCCACAAAGGTTGAGCTTCTACTTCTTGAAATAGTTGAGATAGCACGTTTGTATTCTTCACAAGCAAATCTATATGCATCTTATCGTTGTTAGAATATTTTTATCTTCACATTTGAGGCATTGTTGTCAATGTCAGGACACAATCATATGAGTTTTACTTTGTGAATTGAGCAAAGGCAAATGAACTGACATTTTCATCTATTTACTAACATTATTTTTACCTAAGTTTTAATTAATTTTACTCTTTTATTAGTAAAATTAGGAAGAGTTAATTAATGAGAGAGTGTCTTTTGAAATTCCCTGTATGAATAGCAAATAGAGCTCTATATCACTGTACATGTGTTTTGACAAAATTCTCTAGTTTGGAAATAAGTTTTTATTTACGAGAAACTTTTCTTGCAACATAGGTGACCCCGGCCTTTTATGTACAGTCTATCCTGTTAATATTGTAATACGTATTCCAACATTGTTTTTGAAATTCAGATAACTTATAACCTGTGCTTGCTTGGAGACGAAGTTGGAGGAGACTATATATAGAGGGGTCAGAGTCAGGGCTAGCTCATCACTATATGAAAGAAAAATCCTGCTTTTGCTTTTTGTTCGACATGTCCCGAGATAGATCTTTTCATGAATATAGTTAGAGATACTGTAAAAACTATGGAGGTGATGGAAGTCCAGTAGCTCTTTCAATCTTTAGCATATATTGATAGCTCATTTTTATTTTATTGTTGTGGGGAGGGGGGGATTGCTTCTTAACTAGTCTCCTTAAATACCCGCTAAAAATGAAAAAGAACAAAAAAAAAGTCACAAACATCTTTAGGGTGCACTGTACAAACTCCGAAAGGAGTGAACTGCTGAATTGCATCACAAGATGGTCAGGTCATTTTGCATGATGGATAACAATTTTAGGCTAACCGGCTAACTCTAATGAAATATGAATGATGATATTTTATAGGTTATGCCAAACAACTGTTTAAGCAAAAAGGGCCACCTGTGAAGGACCATAGAGTGTTCTATGTGGAAATTGTTGATAATACACAACATAGCTAGCTTGACAGAACCAATTGATTTGTGTATTAGATTACAAATTGAGAGGAATCGAGGATAAGTTTCCTTAAAATGCAAATGACTCGGTTTTTCTTTATTTTCTTCCAATTTTGTTCTTCCTCTGTATCTTTTTAGAATATGAGAAAAATAAATCTACTGTATTTGAAGCCAAAAGTTAAACCAAGCCTAGCTGCATGTGTGAAAGCTAATATACAATCTTCAAACCAGTAGAACCTGTTAAGTATATGGTCTATAATAGTGAGTTGCACTACTAATTCTCAGCCTTTATGTTTATTTTTTGTCTGATGATTTAACTTTAGAAATGATTATATTTGCTTTGCTATTGATCTGGAAATGAATGGATAATGACTTCAAATTCCTGTTTTCTTGAGTGCAGGGTAGTATCTTTACCTGCGAATATGGATTTCATGATCTTCAACCATCGTGGAAAAGCATTTCCTTTACACCTTGATATGAAGTTGAAGTGAAACAAAAAAATGACACTTGTCTAGTAGTTTTGGAAGTTAGAGGCGTTTTAACAGATAAATCTGATTGATATTTTCCGTTAGTGAAGTTGCATCACCCACAAGGAGCTAAATACTGTACTTGTGGATTCAAATGGATATTAGACACAATACGGAGAACGGGACCTTCGTGGTTGTTATTTTGACTGAAACTATCAGAATTTTTTATGAATTTCAATTTTTTTTTGTGAAGGTCACAACCGGTCTGTCTATGTTCGAAGCAAAAACAGAAGCACGGGAAGCTTGTATTTGATGTTTGGGATATTTGTTATTTTCTACATTTCTTTAAACTTAAAGGAGTCCTTTGATTACTGGCTTTGCCCTGTTTCTCAATATTTAAGAGTTGAACCTCAGGCAGTAAATATCATTGATACCTTCTAATGCCACTTATCAAAACCATTGATAAGCTAGAACTAGGCCTTTGCATGGTTGTTATTTTGACAATGAAAACGTCATAATTTTTAATGAAGTTAATTTCAATTTTGTCTGGGTATTTCAGTCACTTGTGTTAATATAATGATGGGCTGTAGTTTATGAAGCTACTTACAACTTTTTCCATTTTGAAAATCTTGATGGGCTGTTTGCATAGTTTATGAAGCTACTTGCAACTTTTTTTCATTTTGAAAATCTGTGCTAGATTGTTTAAATGGACCTTCTTCTTCTTCTGAGGCAAAAGTAATTCCTATAATTTTTTATTTTTTATTTTTTATTATTAGGTAACATGGAAGGTGTTTTTAGATTCAAATTTTTATATCAACTTTTAACTTGTTCGGAGCTACACTAACAAGTTAAAAAGTCCCTAAAAAATATCCCTAAAAAAAATTAAATAGTCAATAACTTATATTAAAAATTCTCTTCTTTTTATTTTTATATATCTTTTTATAAAAAATCAAAAAATCATTTCAAATATACTAATTTTTTTTCACTATATATTTTAATCAAAAAGTTAAAAAATTACTAAAATAACTTGTTGTCAAACGAGACTTAAATGAGTTTGATGACTGAACCTGGCCGGATCCTGTCCACCCACGTGTCACGATTGTGGTGGTTTTGCTTGGAGATAAAGCAAAGGTGTACAGAATTCCGCGTGAATGAACAGTAATGGGCGGGAATTCAAATTTTAAATTTCGAATCTCCGTATTTACAGCTGTCTATATATCTGGGTCCAGCCTCAGATATTTGTCGGTGGAGAGAGATAAGAGAGATATGCTTTTGCAGTTGGAGAGTTATTACACTGAGGTGATTTTCTGGTACCTTGTTTCGTCCCTCCTTTTCTTTCTGCCAATTTTGTCGATTTATTTGGTATACAATGTTGTACTCCTTAGAAGAGTATCCCGAGAATTACGGGCAGTTCACTCAAATGTGTGTAGATCGCTTTTTGACGTGGCAATTAGGACTGTGGGAAGAGAGCCGGCGAAGAGCTCCGGTGAAGTTTGTTCCGGTGTATGAAGATCAGAAGGCAAAAATATCAAAGCTAAGGTGTCTGAACAGAAGGGTTAGCAGAGGTAACAGATCTCGTAGAAGTGTTCGTCTAAAAGATTTGGAGTTATTTATAAAAAATGGAAGGAATAGGAAGCAGCCATTACCGGACCCCCCTTGCGTACCGGAGGTCAAGGACACCGGTAGCCAGTGGATATAGGTGTAGTTACCGTAGTCGTGCACCTTTTAAGACCCAGCATGTTCGCAGACGGTACGTTCAGAATATTCCCCGATTTATTAAGAAGACTAAGAGAGGAGTAAGGAAATTACAGCTATACGATGAACAATTAAGGGACGTTAAGTTTGATAATAAAGGCGTGGCGAGATTACTTAATGGTATTGAGTTGGGTAATAAGAGATCTGACCGTCAATCAGACAAGATCGTGGTTAAGGGTATCAAATTCATTGGTAATGTTCAATTGGGACAGGATGCTAAGGACGAAGCTGTGGTCCACCACGTGTTGTTTTTTGTCATCAGTGATAATAGTCCGTCAGATTCCGTCCCTACACCTAACAAGATATTTATTGGAGTTGGTGAGGGTAATCCTGAGACCTGGATTGTTGATCCTGACCAGTCCGACCGTTTTCGGATGCTAAAGAAAATGAGATTCAAGCTCGTTGGTGGCAAGGACAAATAGTACGTTCGTCACGGGATAGAAGTTGTAGATCGGTTCTTCCCAGTTGATGTTTGGACGGACTACAAAGATATGCTGTTGGGAAATGTTGGAAGCATTCAAAAGGGTGCCATATATTTAGTGGCTGCTACTGTTAGTGGAAAGGAATGCAAAATTACTTTAAGGAGTCAAATGTACTTTAAAACTGTTTAGAATTGTAATTTGATGTATTTTTATTTTTAATGTTCAAGTTAATGGAGGTGGACGATATAAAAACTGGGGTTGTTGAAGGTATTTCGGCAAGTGATTTTAGTTGTATTGAACTTGCGTTGCCTAATTTATTTTCTCAATTGAGGTTAAGATACAATGAAAAAAGTATTAAGGTTGATAAAATATTGATAAAATATTCCCCCCTTTGCGCACCCAATGCTAGTGGGTTGGTCAGAGTAAATGTTTATGATCGGAGGTTAGACGGTAATGACGTGGCAACAAATCTTCTGGCATGGGGCAGCCTACTAAATTCTTCATTAAAAGGGGGGTTACGTATTGTAAAATGAAGGGGTATCTGAAGTATTCTACGAGTGACATGCCAGAAGATTCGCAAATGAGGGCCCCCTCTATTGTTGTGTTATCTAAAAAATATACTAGTGATAATGTTGATGTCTGGCATTGTCCTCCAACGAAGGCCATTCCGATTCTGACACGAACTAAGTCTGTTGGTTTACCGGAGAGGCGAAGAGATTTGTTGTTAGGAGGTTTTGGGGAAAGTGGTTCAGTCATTCATGAACACAGAGGTCGTCTGAATTTGTCAGAGATTGATGTACGCAGAGGCGGTGATGAATCTAGTGATGTTGATCCTGGTCCGTCGATTTCAGAGGTTGGTGTTAGCAAAGAGGAAGTTGATCGTAGAGGATCAGTTGTTATGGATGCAGCAGAATTTTCTAATGTTTTACGAAATGTAATCATCAGCGTAAAAAATAGTGATGTGGCTCAAGATGTAATAGTGGATGATAAGGGAAATGTAGTAAGTAAATAAAACTTTGAGTGGTTTCATAAATAAAATTAATAAAATTTTTCATTAATCATGACAGTGGTTACATTAACATCAAACCATTCTCTCATTTTTGGGGACATTGCATCTAGCCAACTACTGTCCCCATTTGTTAATAAAATACAAGGAATTCCTCCTCTAATAGTGAGATCTGGTTGGAACTTAACAAATACATGGAAATCTCTCTGGCAGCCTACTAAATTCTTCATTAATTCGGTAGGGACTGTCGAGTATTTGATGTCGTCTATGACGTTGTAGACGGCGTCTTGGTCGTAGTCCTTGAAGCTTATTCTGCCGGAGAAGTAATTGTGTCGTCCGAGGCTTCTGGCCCAGGCGGTTTTGCCTGTTCTTGAGGGTCCTTCGAGGTAGAGGGAGATTGGGCGGATGGGCCTCTGCTCTGGTTCCTGTTATCAGAGGAGGATGAGAGTTCTTCGTCAGTATATAAATTGTTTATATTATTTTTGTGTATCCCTAATCTAAGGAAATCGTCTTCCCTCCAAACGGAGAGACAACAATTTTGACATAACTCATACTGAACGCAATTTCGACTTACAAACAAAATATTATTTTCTGCCCATTTTTTTACTTCTTCATTTAAGAAAGGAAATGAATTAAAAGGGCTAGTATATGGGGGCCTCTCTCTTTTGTAATGATCCCTGGAAAATGTTTTTAATGATCCCTGTGAACATACTGGGTTTTAAAAGGTGCACGACTACGGTAACTACACCTATATCCACTGGCCGCCGGTGTCCTTGACCTCCGGTACGCAAAGGGGGTCCGGTAATGGCTGCTTCCTATTCCTTCCATTTTTTATAAATAACTCCAAATCTTTTATATGAACACTTCTACAGGATCTGTTACCTCTGCTAACCCTTCTGTTCAGACACCTTAGCTTTGATATTTTTGCCCTCTGATCTTTGTACACCGGAACAAACTTCACCGGAGCTCTCCACCGGCTCTCTTCCCACAGTCCTAGTTGCCACGTCAAAAAGCGATCTACACACATTTGAGTGAACTGCCCGTAATTCTCAGGATACTCTTCTAAGGAGTTCAACATTGTATACCAAATAAATTGACAAAATTGGCAGAAAGAAAAGGAGGGACGAAACAAGATACCAGAAAATCACCTCAGTGTAATAACTCTCCAACTGCAAAAGCATATCTCTCTTATCTCTCTCCACCGACAAATATCTGAGGCTGGACCCAGATATATAGACAGCTGTAAACACGGAGATTCGGAATTTAAAATTTGAATTCCCGCCCATTACTGTTCATTCACGCGGAATTCTGTGCACCTTTGCTTTTTCTCCAAGCAAAACCACCACGATCGTGACACGTGGGTGGACAGGATCCGACCACGTATACTCACACCACTCACACCAAATAGTGATTACTATTTGGTGTGAGTACGGATTTAATCTACACCTTACACGTCACCATTCGTACGTCCATCAACGGATGAAATTGCCTATCGGGTACAATTTCAACAGGGGGCGCTAGTAATATTATATATAGCGCCCCCCCTGCTAGTGTGACCTCCCTCTATATAAAGCCTCGACAAACAACATTCATACCAATGTAAGTTAAGTGTTAATCACTAAATAAGCTAAATAATGCCTCGCCAAGCCTCTTTCCGTTTTTATGTCAAGAATGTTTTCCTCACCTACCCACAATGCCCATGCCCAAAAGAACAACTCTTAGAACTCCTCCAATCTCTCCTCCAACTAGCCTGTCAGCCATACTACATACTTGTCGCAAGGGAGCTCCATGAAGATGGAAACCCTCACCTTCATGCCATGGTTCAATGCACGAAGAAGATCCAAACCTCTAACCCGAGATTTTTCGATTTCACTGGAAGCAATGGGAGGATCTACCATCTAAATATAGAAAAACTCCACTCGCCAACAGCAAGTCGACAGTATATACAGAAAGGGGGTGAGTTCGTCGAATGGGGGCAATTTTCATCTAAGGGGAGAAGCCCTTCGAAAAACAGAGACGAACTCTGGAGGGGAATACTTGGCGAAGCAGAAACGGAGGAACAATTCTTTGCTCTCTGTAAAGAAAGATATCCCACCGATTACGTCACAAAATACCCCCAATTAAAAACATTTTCCAGAAATCATTACAAAAGAGAGAGGTCCTCATATACTAGCCCTTTTAATTCATTTCCTTTCTTAAATGAAGAAGTAAAAAAATGGGCAGAAAATAATATTTTGTTTGTAAGTCGAAATTGCGTTCAGTACGAGTTATGTCAAAATTGCTGTCTCTCCGTTTGGAGGGAAGACGATTTCCTTAGATTAGGGATACACAAAAATAATATAAATAATTTCTATAATGAAGAAGAACTCTCCTCCTTCTCTGATAACAGGAACTAGAGCAGAGGCCCATCCGCCCAATCTCAAAAAAAAAAAATCAGGTGCGTTCTCTGCTTCCAAAAATCAATTGTGTTCTCTGCTTCCTAGCACAGTAGGAAGAGATCTAAGTGAGAACCATGCATGCTTAACTCGTTATTCTACAAAATGTTGAAGAAACAGACAAAAAAAAGAACATTTCTCTTGATTTTTCAAGAGCAGAACTTCAACCTCTTTTCTCCCTCCTGCCAAACAGGGAAAACTTAAATGATAGACATGAGCCAATCCGATTTCATTCAGCCATATTGCCACGTTATCCTACTTTCTGAAAGTTCTTTCATAAAACACAAAAAAAATCAAATAATTCAATTTTTTTCGCTTCATATTTTAGTCAAAAAAATCACTGCCCAAACCTTCAAATACAAAGCTTGTCATGAAAGCATATCAAGGTCAATTCTAAGATCTGAAACGGGGTGTCAATTAATGAATCTAATGGAAATAGGACAATAACCGAACCGGGTATAATATTATTAAAGCTTAACTTGAAAACTTAAAGAGCTTCACAATATATTTAAATTTAACTTGTTTATATAACGGGCCAATCTCAAACAATTTTTAATGAGTCAAGTATAAATCAAGCTGGAGTAATATGATCCTTTATAGTGTATATAAACTTATCGAGCTGAGCAGTGGTTGTTCAAGTTTGATTTAAAAATTTAATAACGAACTTTAAAATATGTTAAAATTTAACTTGTTTATATAACATGTTAATCTCAAACAAATTTTTAATAAGCCGAATACAAGTCAAGCTCAACTGGTTGGGTTTGTTTAAAAAAATATAAATGGAAGGACGAACAAATTCATCATTACAGCTAACATCTTTAGTGCACACTAATCCTTATCAAATGAACATCGTCGGCAAAAATAACAATAATAATAATAATAATAATTAGATTTCCTTGCTTGGGATGATGATGCTCCATCAGAAATGACATTGCTTCACTGGTCAATCTAAAGCACAGGAACATCTTTGAAACAATATTATCATTTCAAAAATCCTAACAAGAACTTGATTCCAGCTCAGTAGACAGCTCCATTCATCAGGGAGGATCCCTGAAGCAACCATCAGTTACTGCAAATTATCTCCCTTATTTTTCCTTCCATATGTGCAGGATGGATGAAAAGTAAATCTCTACGACTATGTTTGAATAGCAGTAACATTGAAGATAGATGTAAACACCTAGTATTTTTGAATTATCCTAACACTTCAATGAGATTACCCAACTATCAGGTATGGATTCTTGGTCTTTAAATCAAATGCTGCCTTGCTTGCTCTCTGCAACGTGAGAGTGAGAGTCAGGAAGGTAAATCAAATAACCAAACCAAAAAGCTCTCTACATTGGAATTGAATAGGAAATCCTTACCATTGCATCCGTCAGCTGCCATCTGAAGGCAGACAGTTCTGCCAAGCATGAATGCCAAGATCCAACTAGCTTGGAGAAGGCTGTGATGGTATCACAATGATCCGCTCCTCTAATCAAAATATTACTAAAAAAAACTTGGTTGATTATCACATAAAATAGCAGCTGAAAAGCCCTTTCAATTACTGTCTGGTTTGGAAAAAGACAAGGAGTTTTTCTTTGAAGCAATATCTGTGCTCCATAAATCTAGAAGGTGAATTTATAAACCCCACATTTCTCGCAACTGCTTCCAAGTTTTAAATGGGCTGGGTTTCTGAGACAAACAACCACCAGTAGACTTTAAGAAAGCTTCAAAAGTATTCTTATAACTACTACTGCATGACAATATGGACTTAAACTTTTGAGTTCCCTAATGTAGTGAAGAATGCAATGACTTCCATCAAGCAAGGGATCCAGTGAATCAAGTTACAATTGAGTGAGTTCCTGTGGGTTCTCCATAGACTGTCTAAGAATTAACTCAGCTCTTCGTTTCTTGTCATCCTTCTCATCATCCCGACCAATCCAAGGTGCCGTTTTCCCAGAACCTTTATTCCAAAGTCTCAAATCCACAGATTCACCTAATAGTTTCTTGCCAGATTTGAAATTCAAATGAACAGCAGGTCTCTTGTCTGGAAGAACATTTTTATCAATGTCTCCGGAATCACAAAAGCCACCCTTCATTGCTTCAATAGCAGGAGCGAATGTTTCTAACACAGAAACATGGTTTTCAACAACAGTTTCATCAGAAAGCTTAACTGGCAGGGGAACTGAAGAAACATCTTTCTCTCCTGCTTGTAAAGGTGTAGCAAGAAATGGGTTTTTAGTTTCGGAAACTTGTAAAACCTTATCATCATTACACAAATCTGCTGAAATGGAAGACGATGCAGAACCATTGCACAACAACCGCTGCTGCAAACTCAACAAAGACCTCTCGGCCTTCCTCCTTTGCCTAGCTAGCTCAATTTTGTCCGAACGAGGATCTGTTTCCCTCTCATTCCATGTGGGTGTGTGTATGTATGTGTGAGGATCGGGAAAGGCCGGCAACCAAGATGGAATGTACTTGAATGTTGGAATTTCACCCATTTGCATAAAACTCGGGGTCATACTCCGATTTCTCATGATCGGAAAGTGTGGAATTGGTTGAGCAAATGGAATTTCCTCAGCACTCTCCCCATACTCAACAATTTCCCTCACTGTACCCGAAACAGTTAGGCAATGACTGACCTCTGAAGCACCCGAAAACCCATTAACCGAACCCAAATCCCCCAATCCTTGTATAACATCAAACACATTACACTCAGTCCTACCAGCTAAATTAGTGTAAAAACTAGCAGTTTTTCCTAAGTCACAGAGGTATCGGACCGCAATATCAGTGAGAACCTCCAAAGCAGACTCATTGAAGCTCTGAAACCCAACACTCTCGCATATCTGAGCCACGGCAATCCTCGAAACAGCTCGGCCAAACTCATCGGCATTGGCTCGTTTCAGTGCGTGGCTTCCATTTTCCTTCTCTCTCTTGCTCTCCACTTTACCTCCATCGCTCATATTCAAACCCGCGTATCATTTAGGGCTTTGAGCAAAAAAAACCCCAATTTTGACCTCACAAACCGTCTCTCGCATAACAAAAATTCACAAATATACAAGCCCTAGAACTGAATTGCATATAAACGACACGTAGAACACTATGTTAATGCAAGAACATGAAGACTTACCAGTGATTTTTGAAGGACTATGAAGTGAATCTCACAACCGTTGATTGGGCATGAAACAAGTGAAATGAGAGCATCGTAAGGAGCTGAAAAACCCTAGAGAGAGAGAGAGAGAGAGAGAGCGACAGGAGAAGGAGAGATCTAGATTTCAATGGTTGGAGTGAAGATTTATAGAGGGGTATTGGTGAAAATGTTAGAGTTTATGAATTACTGATAAACCCCAGTGGGAACAAAGATGCAACCGAGCAGCAAGAGAGCTTGGAAAGAGAAGGAAGAAGAGAGAAGGCAGACGATGAGAGAGAGAGAGAGAGGGTTTATTATTATAGAACTGGTTGCGAAAGAGGAAACCAAATCACCCGTAAATTAAAAAGGGCAAATTACATATTCACCCCTCCAGGTTTGACAAAATTACAGATACCCCCCTGAGGTTTGAGAAATTACGAATTCCCCCTGAATGCTATATTTGCATAAGAAATTAGGGGGTAATTTGTTATGAAATATAAACCTCAGGGGGTAAATTGTTATGAAAATACAAACCTCAGGGGGCGGGATGTAATTTCCGAAACCTCAGGGGGTATCTGTAATTTAACCAAACCTGGAGGGGTGTATATGTAATTTGCCCAATTAAAAAAGAGTGATGCCATTAAGGGCCCTGAATTTTTTTGCACCTCTTTTTTTTGGATTTTATTTATAAATTAAAATTTCTTTCCTCTGTGAACATGCTTTTTTTTAGTAATTATTTAAATTTTTAGTTAAAATATGATGTAAAAAAATTAATATGTTTAGGATGATTTTTTAATTTTTTATGAAAAGATATGCAAAAAATAGAAAAAAAAAAGAATTTTTGACTTTTTGGTATAGGTTGTTGGCTTTTTGATTTTTTTAGTAACTTTTTAACTAAAAAAATCACTTGCCAAATGAGGCCTAACATTATTTTAAAGCATTCTAACTATTAAATGCACATCTCCACACCCCAAAAAAAATCTTCCTTCTAAAAAATCATAACAAAATCCATTAAAAAAAAGAAGAGTCTCATCATTTTCAAAACGCACGAAGAATAATAATAATAATAATATTGTCTGTGTTGGTTTAATTATTGTCACAATTGGTATGCTCTCTCTCTCTCTCTCATTCCTTCTTCAAAACTGAAACTATTGTAAACAAAGATTGCCAAAGACATTATTGACTCTATTTTTCATCTATATATGTGTAAAATTCTTGATTTTCAATGTTTTTCACTGCCATACATATTTCCGAGTATATATATATATATATATATATTTATGTGTTATCATTCTACCGATTTCATTAAATTAGTTGCTATGATTTCTTGGGCACCTTTTGTGTTACTGAATTCAATCTTTGAATAATTTTCGTAAATATATATACACAGAATTTTTTGATTTTTTGTTCGCAAATGCTCTCAATTTTCCATTCTTAAATTCTCGTTAGCTGGTAAAGAATCATTGATTGAGTGAAGTTGGCATCTTGAATATATTCAATTAAGCTAAAATTAAAATGTTGTCATATGTTGACATGGAAAAGTCAAGGCAATACTATTTTAAGATGTTTCAAGAAAAGGACCGCAAAATTAATTTATGATTTAATTAGGTTCATGGAAATTGTGATTGGATATATGGAAGGAAAAACAAACAGGAATGAAAATAAGTTCACTGCTGAAAGGATGAAACTAATGAATGGCAATCAAATAACTCAAAGTTATACATACAAAAATAGAATGTTAAGTACACTACGCGTCCAGGAAATGCTTGGCATAATGCCTTGACAGTAGAATTCTGTACCCATGTGCCATTAGTTGATGAAATTTGAGGGGAAATTTTATTGGATGCTCCATCATTAGCAGCATCACAATTCACCATAAGACAACCATTTGGCATCAACTTGTCATACAAGTCCAACCAAGTTGTAACCTATCCAAGAGAGTAAGAACAGATATATTGCATCTAAATTGGATGACAAAATTACGGTATACCATACAATAGCTGAGAATAACAAGAGATGTTAAAGAGTGTGTTTGGAAGAATGAAATCAACACCATAGCATGAGAACTGGAGGGTGTTAGTAGTTCATTTAATTTGTCTTGAGATGGCCTTTTTTTTCCTTTTTTTTCTTTTTATAAGTTTCTTGATGGATGAATATGCTATATACATTTTTAATATGAGATTATCACTCAATGACTTCTTTTTCTCATCTTTTCACACATAATTTTTGGGTCCTATACAGTTGACTCCTTGGTTTGTAAATAATTTATTTGAATTGTAGAAACCAAAAGGAATTATAATTTTTAAGGACTATTTTTTACAAATAATGAGGTCTTTTGAGGAATCTATGGATGAGAGTGTATACATGCATTATTACAAGGGGAAAAACACATGCACTCATACATAAAGAGGGATAGATATATAGGTAGATAGAGATTCGAGGGATGTATAATATATATAGATAGAGATTAGAGGAGCATAACTTATATATATATATATACGTAGACCGCCCGAACTTCGCTCCGCGCGCGAGGGCACGAATTGTAGTTCTTAGCTACTACAGTTGGAACTCCTATCACGGTTCTGAATCTAATCTCACAAAGTGCAATGTAAGACTGATAAATCACCAAAGAGTCTAAATCCGACAAATCGTTTTGGAAAATCGGTTTTAATCAAGAAGTGCCAAACATGGACTGCTTTGCCAGATTTCAGAGTCGCCACCTAAATATTTTATTTTGAGAAATTTAGGAAACCCTGACTCGTGCCTAAGGCCACGTGTCCGTCATCACCAAAGTTGCTTTGGCTCGGAAACTTGGGTACGAGAGGGGAAGGTCCTGAAATAAGCACCCCCGCTCGCCCGATCAAAGGATCGGCCTCTACTAACATGATATGTTGTTTTTGAAAACACATGTGTTCTTATTTCGGTTTATTAATTTAAAATTACTATGTGATGCACACAACATATAAGTATAGACTCAATCACGCGGATTGGAACAAAACAACTCATGTTTGTTTTTTAAAGTGGTTTGAAAGTGCTACTCGCAAGTAGGCTAAAGCGCGGATTTGTCACCCTCAAGTGGGCTTAGAAAAACATGATTTTGCCACTTTAAGTGAGTTTAAAACTCACAATCATCAAGTTGTTCCAATTCAGGCAATCAAGCCTTCACCCACAGGCATTCATGCAGTTAAACACATAAGCATATAGCCTCATGGTAAGCATGCTATCATGGCAATCACTTACACACATGCAAGGATGCTAAAACATAAACACTCACCGAGTACTTCGAGCCAAAATAGAAGCTAGTTAGTAATCAATGCATGATCCTAGCTATGTCAACAATGTCTAATGCAACATATGCAAAATACAGCTAAATAGGCTCGGCTATTCTAAGATGGCATATGAATGCAGCACTCAATAACATGCTTTGAAACACGTATTCAAGTAAGTATTGAAATTCAATGCAGTTTGAATGATGCGCCAACCCTGGTGCATGCAATACGAATGAATGATACACGCATGCAAAGCATAAGTATGCTAATTGAAATATGCCCTAAAACTAACCATCAAAAGCTGGTAAATAAAAGAGAGAAAGACGTGGGGTTGGAAGACATGTACACACACACGCACACTTATTACAACATTTGTCCTCTTGAAGGAGGGTCCGAATAAATCAACTAACTAGCTACGCTAAGCTAATTAATTACAAACCGAAACTAATTAATCAAATTAATCAAGTTACAAAACCAACAAAGTATGAAAAGCATCTAAGTTAGGCTGCCACAGCTCTACCTCGAAATAATTAATGATGCATGCTCGGTCGGCTTCGCTCGAAAATCCATTACCATGCCCAAAATTGTCTTTGTTTGCATTTGATCTCAGAACACTGCACAAACCTCCAGAATGCTTTTGCTTCAACATGGGGACCTCCTGGTGGGTTGCCGACCGGAAAAGGGTGGTGTAGACCACCTGTAGACCAAAAAAACTGGTTGTAGACCAGAAAATCTGCCAAACTCCAGTTTTACTGCAACTGAGAACAAGAAAGGGCATATCAGTGTATTTGCAAGGTACGTGTGCACAACCATCCTCCCTATCATTTCTCAACCTCAAGAGAGTGCGGTACTCGACTCTCGGGCCACCAACTGAGCATCGCAATGCACGATGGCCGAGAAGCCAAGTTTGCACGAGTTAATGTCAATGAATGCACAAATAACACATAAGGGCCTCCACCTCTATCATGCTTGATCAAGAGGGTCAGCGACTGAGAAATGAGGCGCGTTTCATCACTTCAAGTGTAAAACGCCCCTCGTTTCTCGTGTTTGGATCAACATCCAATCCAAACACAATGCAATGCAACAACATTCCAAACACAATGCAATGCAACAACATGTAAACAACATGCAATGCAATAACATGCAAACAACATGCAAACAACATGCAATGTAACAAAATGCAAACAACATGCAATCCATAAATGCTAATGTGGCATGCACAAGGTTCTAACATATGAACAATGCATGGATGGCATGTTTGGAGGCTAAAGCATCAAAGTAAGTAAAGAGCATCATACAAGAGGCATGCAATACAATGCTCAATGGATTTAAACCAATTATGGACAGACCTAAGACAACTCAAAACAATGGCAAAACACATTAAGACTTAGGCACAAAAGGGCAAGATGTGCATGCTCATCATTTGCTTGGAAGCAAGGCAAAAGGCTTAACTTTCAAACACATTGAAAGAGTGGAAAATGTGAGAGTGTGGCAATGAAATATGCTTTGAAATCATGTAAGAAATGATGCCAAATCATGCACATATCACAAATAAAGCATGCTAGGAGGCTCAAAGCTTAAGGTTAGCAAAGGCACTTGTACCATAGCCCTATCAAGCAAGCCCCAAAGGGCCAAGGTGACTCAAAACAGTCCCAAGGCAGGTTAAAACAATGCCAAAAACATGCTTGGACATAGCCAACATATGCTAGAACGGGAGGCATAAAGCATGACGCATGCAAGGCCAATGAGCATGATTACACTACAAGTGTAAGAAGCAAATGAGGGATGTTCTAACCAACCAAAAACAGAGTTGTATCATGGCAAAATAAGACCTAAAACACACTGAGATGGTAGCCCAAAAAGCTTAGGCAAGCATGTATGCCAATTGGTTCATGATTGAGGCACAAAGCATAACCTCCCAAAAGCATTGAAAAAGTGAAGTATGGGAGAGTATGACCACATTTCATGCACTGAAATCATATATCAAATGATGCTAAATCATGCAAATAGCCCAAGCAATGCATGTTAGTGGACTCAAAACACTAAGCTAGTGAGCAAGATTGCATTATG